GGAGGTCAGGATATGACTGGTGTGGAGAGGAGATAAAACCTTTGGGGCCAGGTGATCTGACGAAGGTGAAGGAGAAGAACAAAGGGTATATGAGGACCGCCGAAGTGGGAGAAGAGACAGCAACAAAGACATGGTCCCATGAAGACTCAGACAGGAGGCTGAGGCCAGAAAGGAGAGAGGAGAGGGAGGAAGCATAACAAAGTAAAGCGAGACCAGTCTAGGATGACCAGAAAAAGACCTGCTGGGTGTGATTGTCGCAGACAAGGGGAAGAGGATTAATGAGAGTGCTTTCACTGCGTGCCGGGGTGCGCGGATATTGCCTTGAGCCTGGAGCCTGGAGCTCGGTAGGGAAATCTAACATCAATCTACCCCGGGACTGACCGAGTTATCCTGTCATGGGGGTCTCCTAGCAGTGAGGGCTCTAATGGCTTTTAAGTGCTTGACCCATGCCCACAGTGCAACTGGGGTCCTTCAGACATGATCCTAGAAATGGAGGGGGGAAAAAAAGACACAGTGACTCACCCCAGACGGAGGCACGGAGACTCCGCGTGACAAGTGATGTTGACCGGTCCTGCTGCAGGTGCCAGCGAATGATGAGAGTCCAAAGAGGGACCTCGACCCAGAGCTCAGGTGACCAGGTTCTTGTCTTATGCTGCGAGAAAGAATTCAAGGACACGACAAACAGCAAGCAGGACAGAGCAAGGTTTAGTAAAGCAAAAGCTCACACTTAAGAGAGAAGCCCACAGAGCTGTCTGGATTATGGGCTTTTTTTTTCTTGGGGGACAGGACCTGGAGATGTCCCCCTTGCAATGCAGGTGATATTATAATGATATTATGATTAGCTAAAGCTGAACAAAGGTCAAGGGAAAGACTCCGGAGCCTTATCCTGGAGGGAAGGGGCGGCAGCCCGAGGGCATCTATTCTGTCTCAGGCTTTGGCTTGTTTCTCATGCCCCTCCATCCCCACCAGAATCAGGACAGGGGGAGGGCTGAGTAAGGGACTAAGGAAAAATTCCAGAACTGCATCCTGGAGGGGAGAGGGAACGTCCCTAGGCTAACTATCCTGCCTCAGAGGGAATAAATGCCCCTTATTTTCAGAGCTGAATGAGTTCAGACTCTCATTTATCTAGCAAAGAGTTTTGTTCAGACTCTCAGTAAGTAATTCCAATCGAAAAGATAAAATTAAAAACCAGCCACCCATATTTTTCTCCTGTCCCTAGGTTATCTCAACGCTTGCCCTTTAATGCCACTTCGAGGATGTTTCTTTTTGAGGACAGCTCAAATAAAGTTAGGGCTTTCTACCTTAAAACAGGGAGGTTCAGAATTCCAGGAAAAATTTACCCAAGTTCACCCAATGCGAAGCAGGGAGCCAGGGGGGCAATGAGCCCCTGCTGGTACCTAGCACCAGGTCCAGATCCACAAGGGGGTCCTGAGTGAGCTTACTACTGAGAATATATAAAGAACTCTTACAACTAAAAAACAAAAGGAAAAACAACCAAAATAAAAAATGGGCAAAGGACTTGAATAGATTTTTCTCTAAAGAAGATACACAAACAGCGCATGAAAAGATGTTCGGCATCACTAGCCATCAGTTAAATGCAAATCGAGACCACAGTGAGGTACCACTTTATGACCATTAGAGTGGCTACTACAAAAAAAAAAAAAAACAGACTCTATCAAGAGTTGGCGAGGATGTGGAGAAACTAGAACCCCCCTAGTACATTAACGACAGGAAAGTAAAATGTCGCAGCCACTGTGGAAAAGTTTAGCAGGTCCTCGAAAAGCTAAACACAGAATTACCATGTGATCCAGCAATTCCACTCCTAGGAATATACACGAAAGAACTGAAAAGAAGTATTCAAACAGAAACTTGTCTATAAATGTTTACAGCAATGCTATTCACACTAATGAAAAGGTGGCAACAGCCCAAATGTCCGTAAACTAAAGGTAGCATATTCAAACAATGGAATAACATTCCGTCATAAAAAGGATCGAGGTACTAACACTACAATGTAGGTGAACCTCAAAAACATTATACTAAGAGAAAGATGCCAAACACAGAACATTTCATATTACATGATTCCATTGATATGAAATATCCAGAATATTTGAACCCATAGGAACAGAAGATAGGGGAGTACTTGCCCAAGGTCAGAGGGAGGGCAGGTAGAGAGCAACTAATATGGGGCAGGGAATCTCCTTTTGTGGTTTTTCTTTTTTAATTTTTTTTTTTTTTTTTACACCTACAGCACCTGGTCCTCCTAGGTGGTCTCCCATCCAAGGACTAACCAGGCCCAACTCTGCTTAGTTTCGGAGATCAGACATCCGGCTTATACAGGGTGGCATGGCCGTAGACCATGGACCTTGGCTCCGCTGGGGCACGAACCCAGAACCTTCTGCGTGTAAAGCAGACGTGCTAACCGCTACACTACGGAACCACATCCGGGAATCTCCTTTCGGAGCAATGAAAACATTTTAGAACTAGATGGAGGTGATGGGTGCACACTATTATGCATATACGAAGTGTCACTGAACTGTCCACTTTAAAACAGTTAATTTTATCTCATTAAAAGCAAAGAAACCATCCATGGCATTTCCTGACCACGGTGAGTCCCTCTCATCCCCCCACCACTCCCCTAGCCTGGCATTTCAGGCTTCAGCTGTCCAGCCATGGCCTGGGGACTGGCCAGTCACGTTTTGAACACTTGTGCTCCAGCCATACTGTCCACTCAACTCCTCAACCCACCAGCAGCGTCATAATTCCCTTCGCCGGCCACCTTCTCTGACTCCTTCATAGATGCCCAGCAATCAGGGACCTCCTCGTCAGGGCTCACAAGATCTTTCGAATCTTGCTCTGCTGTACACCAGATCTTGGCACATGGTTTCCGACAGTTGTCTCATCTCAGTAAGAAGAAATTAGCATTTTCTGAGCATCACGGTGTGCAGGCTTCTTGCTCAGCAACTCTATGAAGTATTGTCAGTCCCATGTACTGAAGGGCAGGTGTGACTCACTGACAATCAATCACACAGCCTCAAAGTGGCTTCACACTCAGATTCCAGCCCAGAATTAGGGCTCCAGGTGCCACCTAGAACAAGTGTGTGAGTCAAATGAACACTATCTCTGGCCACACAGAAGAGGTGTACCAGCTATGGGGGTCGCTTGTCTAATCATGCAGGTAGCCCAGGTCCCATGTGAAGCGACATGAACCACACAGATGCTGTTATAAATACACCACTCTGGGGTTCCCCAGGGGTCAGCTCCAGGAAGTGGATTTGCACTCATATTTTTATATTTGGTTAGAGTCGAACCACTTCTGCACCTCACTTCTGTACACACCCCTCCCACTTTCTGGACACTAAAGATATATCTAGGTCCTGCTTTGCCCCTGCTGGCCAAGATCTGGCTCTGCTGAGGCCCCCCACAAAACCTCAGGGGCTCCGCAAGCATGCAGAGGGGAGTTGGGTGCCTGTCTGAGCCAGAAGGGGCCTTTGCCTTTGGGGTCCTGGGGCTATAAGTGCTTTTATCTGCCCAGGCCACGGGGACACTGAAACCTCCCAGGGAGATTGTCTCTCTGGCTCAGCACCCAGAGAGCACAGGCCTTCATTTTATCCTACCTTCAAAACGTCAGCATCTCCAACCCCAGAACTGTCCATTCCCAGCTCTCACGTGGCAGATAACCCCCAGCACCAGCCCTAAGTCCAGGAGCCAGGTAGAACAGGGTCTTCTGCCTCAGGCACCCAGTGAGAGTGATGGGGGTGTCCTGGGAGGGACCAGCAGGTCGGTGGAGATCACTTGCAGAGGTAGGGACACTGCTATGGGTTGAATCGTGTTCCAAAAAAATTCATATGTTGAAGTCCTAACCCCTTGTACCTGGAAATGTGATCTTATACGGTAATAGGGTTTTTTATATGACTAACTCAAGATGAAGTCATTTGAATCAGCCCTAATCCACTATGATTTTGTTGTTATGCATGGGGGATATGAACAGAGACACGCCCACAGGGAAAACGCCTTGTGAAGATCGGAGCTATGCTGCCCAAGTCAAGGAGCCACCAGAAGCTGCAAAGAGCCCCGAACGGGTCCTCTCCTAGCACTGTCACGGCCCTGCCGACACCCAGCTTTCAGACTTACCGGCCTCCAGACAGCAATTTTCTGTCGCTCTGAGCCACCTGGTTTGTGGCGCTTTCTTATGCCAGCCTTAGGAAGACTGCTCCAGGCACCCCTGCTCTGTCCCCCAGTCTCTCTCCAGAGCACCGGGGGTGGGAGAGGGTTAGAAGCAGGGCCTTTGATGGGCCAAAGCCACTGCTGGGTGGTCACTTCCAGCCTTGACTATCTGGGCACTCTGGCCACACAGCTCTTAGCCTCCTGGAGCCACGAGAGGATGAGGACAAAGAGAGGCAGGGGCTGGCCTCCCTGCAGCTGGTCACTGAGGCTTCACTTTGCTATACCAGGAGCCCGAAAAGCCCAGGAATAGCCAGACCTTACACCCTCATATCTCCCCTGGGCCCTCCTTCCAGCCATCAGCAGTTTGGAACGGCCATTATATGTCTTTTAATCTCAGTAGGGGAGATACCTCAGGAAGGTACAGAGAGACGACACGCAGGCTTGTCACAGCATCTCATTTGTAGCTGGCCCTTTGAGGAGGTGAGGGCAGAACAGCCTCTGGAGCCAATAGCTTTCTTCTCTTAGGGGCCTAAGATCAATCCAGAAAGCAGGTAAGAAAGCTGGGGGGTAGGGGTTGACAGGATGCTTAGGGCAGAGGCCTCTCCCCACAGGTACTGAACAGAAAGGAAGGAAGAGGGACCTCCTGCCTCCATCCAGACAGCACATCTGACCACTGCATAGGTGGCTCTCCTTAGAAGGTCCAGTCTCAGTCAAGGGTCAGCTACATTTTCCCCAAAATGGACATGATGCAGCTGGCCGAGTCGAAGCTCTAGAACTTTCAGGACTGAGCCGGCTGTCTGCCAAGGGTAGGAGAGAGGAACACGCCCCGGAGATCCTCATGTGGCCTGTTCACCAGGGCCTTGTCTCTGCCTGGGACCAGCTCCCACACAGCTCGCTCCTTGCTGAGCATCCAAGTTCTGCTGGTCGCAGGAAAGGCCACAGGCTAAGGCTGGGATAGGCTCAGAGCTCTGTGTGTTTCCTGGAGTGGTCAACGGGTGGCACCCCTTAGGTCAGGGCACAGTAGTCACTGCCACTGCCCTCTGACTGTGGGGGAGCTGGCCTGGTGGGGCTCACAAGGACCCATTCCTCCTGTGGCAGGTAGGCCTGCAGCTGCCCTTCCCATCCCAGGACTGCTGATGACACGTCTGCTGGGAGGCCGGTGCCAGTGCCTTCCTCCTCCTCCAGGCCCACAGATGGCCAGGAATCCGCCGGGTCATAGGTAAGCGACGTGATGGCCTCTTGGACACTGGACTCCAAGGCTCCGTGTGGGGCGCCGACGTAGTCCTGGCTCAGCGGCATGCCAGCTCTGTGGGCCCCTGCCCAGGTCTGGAACAGAGCACGTGGAATCAAACAGCGTGTTCAGGACTCACCCTGGGAGCAGCCTCCCCTCCCCCTCCAGGAAGATTCCTTACACCCATACCAAGAGACCAAGCAGCACTCATGCCCAAAACATTCTGTCTTCCCCCCACATGCCAGCCAGCCTCAGCATGGAACCCAAGTCCCTTCAGGCCCCTCACCACTCCCCCAGCACAGGGCCTGGTGCTCACAGTAGCCTGAAACAGGGTACAGATGGTGACAGGTACCCAGGACAGAGAAAATCCCTGACTGCTGCTCCAGGCACTTTCAGCAGCTATAGAGCTCACCCCAACACCCACTCTCACACACACACACACACACACACACACACACACACACACACACACACAGAGACAAGAGATGCTATTGGGACTGGCGCCTTTGGGTTGAGGTAGGCAAACCTGGACCTCTCCATGGGGCCACAGGAGGCCCCCTCCACCTGCAAAAGAAAGCTGCTCCCTAGGTGGGACCAGGCGTCTCCACCAAATGTGCCACACACCACATCCTCGGTCACTGCTGGGCTATGGCTCCAGACCGCTCCCCGAGGTCTCTAATTAGCCCTCGGTGTCATGGTTCTACAGAGTCGAGGCTCGTTGCCTGCAACCCAGATGACACAGTCCAGGGACAGTCAAAATCTTTGTCCCACTCAGCCATTGTCCTCAGCTGTCTCAAGGATCTTGTCACATCTACTGCCTTGGGGAAAGAGGTGGACTCCTCCAAGGACAAAGTACCTAGCTTTAAGCTTCAAGTGATATTTTTGAACAAAGATCTTGAAAACTAGGCTCCCTGTTGAGAGAGAAAAGGGCTGGGCCAGGAAGCCATACAACATCAGAAGGGGAGATCCCGAAAAGGGCAGGTTAGTGGACCCCAGGAAGCACTGCCTCCTGTCCTTTGCCCAAAGTGAGGGGCTTGAGAGTGTGGGAACCAGAGACCACCCATGAGAGCTCCTTCCTTCCCATCCCTCCTCCCACCAGGGGAACAAGAACTGCTAGGCTGGCCAGGAAGGGAGAGGTCTGCATGGAAGTTCTAATGAAATCCTCCAGGTAGCTCTCAGCTAGCCTTTGCCCTATGGGAACTCACCAGGATCCCATGAAGGGGAAAGTGTAGAGTTTACTCGTTGGCCAAGGCGCCAGTGTACTACCCAGGGGGATCAGAAGGGGCCAGGCACTCCACAATGGCCACCCGAGCAGTTGCCGAGGGACCAGTGAGAGCCCCAAGTACAGATCAAACATTAGAGACCCTCCCTACTGCCACCAGACACAGACGCCTTCAGAGATTAAGAAAGGATGAGACGTGGCAAGTGCAGACAGTCTCCATCATTTGCACCTTGAACTGACCATTTGCCTCAAAGGGGCTGCTGCAAACTAGAAGAGACAGATAATGTCACAAGAAAAGTACATTTTCCCATCAACAATGGAATTGGAGACAAGAGAACAAAAAGAAGTCAGCAATAAAAAATGAAGCTAAACTTTTTTGCCCATTTGAGACACAGTGTGTAAATTTAAACCCACTATATATACCAAAAAAAAGCTCAAAGCACTGAGAAGGGCCCCCATGCTCACCTCAACCCTCACCCAAAGCCCACACATCCTTTGCAGACCAGATACTCGGGCATCCCCTGCTCTGCCCCCAGCCCCCTGCAGTGGACAGTGCACGCACCTGGAAGTTCCCGTTGTGCACACTGTAGAGAGGCTGGAAAAATGCCACTGGAGAGGGCACATTCTGGTAGAAGGTGCTCTTCACCCTGAGGCCAGGAGAAGACAGTCAGAGGCCTCCTCAGAAGGGGCTTCCCCAGAGGCCCAACTCCAGGAAGCATGAGGTCACTGCAGGGAACTTAGCTCTCTTCCAACCATCAAGTGACCAGCCCTGCCTCTTCCATGCTGCTGTCATACTGTCTCCTCTCACTGGGTCCACACCCGCACTCAGAGCAAGGCCCTGCACCTGGTACCCTGTAGCCTGGTAGCCTCCCTGGGTAATGACCCATCCCATAGAACTGATTTACATCAAGACATATGTCCTTTACAAGGTGAGCTGTGGTGTTGAGTGCAGGGATAAAAATAACCAGCTGCGTCCTCAACCCACAGAAGGAACCAGCACCTCCGGGAACCCTAGCTGCGTCACTCACAGACAGATGGCAACTCCTCGCCCCTCCCGACTTCTCCCTGAGCACCGGATCCATCTGCCCTGGGCCTACTGGTCCTCCCTCAAGGATGTGGCACAGGGCTCCAACTCAGTAGGTCCAAATCAACCTCACCGACCTCCTCTGGGCCTACGCTCTCCAGTTCCCCACCTCAGGAGTGACATCAGGAGTCACCAATCATATCTCCTCTGCCCACATATTCCTCCCAATTTCTCTTCCTAAGTCTTGGCAATTCCTTCCATTTCTCTCCTTCTTTCATCTGCTCAAGCCAAACTTTCTCTCTCTGGACCCCACCACTGGCCTCCCAGCAGGTTCTCCCATCCCCTCGTACCCCAACAATCCATTTTCAAAATATAAACTAGATCATGTCACACACGCTTTAAAACAAACACTTCAAGTGCTTTCCTTTGCTCCAAAGACAAATCTGGCACCCTCCTCCACCTTCTCAGCCACACCTATCAGGCCCCACATAGAACCCCCTCCCTTACCAGCCCCCAGCCCATTGCTCTTTCTGTCCCACCTCCTCTCATCTTCTCTGCTACCTGTCTGAACCAGTTTCCTGTGGGTCCTCCTTGTAACCTGACATGCGTGATGGCTTATTTCAGGAGGGCCCTCGTGTCCTCCAGAGCATCCACCGGAGCGGAGAACTGGATCCTGTGCACACCGGATGCCCAAAACTACATTTTCATAGCATGTGTTAACAAGTGAACAAACCACCAAGCACCTCCAGGGGCTGGAGGCAAAGACCTCAGGCAACTTGGTTTCCAGTGACCCAGTGACTTTGGGTCCCTCCTTGGCTCTTTGGGGTTACACCACCCCCACCCCAAAACCTGGCAATTTGGGAATTCCCAATTGTTCCAAGGCAGAGGCTTGAAACCTTTCCACCCAGGATCTGATGGTGGGGAGGGGAGGAACACAGGGGGAGGGGTGTCCCACCACACACATATGCACACACAGGGACGCACACACACATCCACACGCACACACTAATTCTCACACACACACATGTTATAACACATGCACACACACACACACACACAGCCCTTGGCTACCGACCTGGGTGACAACTTGAACAATAGGTAAGTCATGCTGGTCAGCAGGAGAAAAATGGTCACAGCGACGAGGATGCTGTTGGGCTGCCCCAAAGGCGAGATCAGAGTGTCTGTGAGCAGGAAGGGCCCAGAGCTGTGAGCAGCCTCGGCACCAGGACATTCTTCCAAACCTACATGGCAAAGGCACCCCAGGCTCTGGGCCTACGTGGAGAGTTTGCGAGGGGTCTTGGAGGTTTGTGTCATGCCTGCTAAAGTACCTGTGGTGAATCGCGTGCCCTTGGGCCTTGCCTTTCCCTTCTGCAAGGTCATCGGGGTCAGTGGCCTTCCCAAAGCACCTCTGTGCACAAAGGTTAGCCCAGTCCTCCCCAAGTCTCCAGAGACAGAAGCACCAGGCCTTGGCGGGCAGCCCGGGGCCACACTCGCTGCCAGTCATAGCCACTGACCACAGGTTCCCGGGTAAGCCGAGCTTGACAAGTGGTTGTTCTTCCATACGCACCTCAGATCTCCAGGCTGGGGTGGTCAACCTGAGGCGTGCCGGCCTCAGGGACGGGTCCCAGGAAGGTAAAAGGGTGGGAGGGTGCAACCGACAGGGGAAGGGAGGCCCAGCCCAGACTCCCGGAGAGCAGCAGCCACACAGCGCCCACCCTGTCTCTGGAGAGAAGGGAAGAACACGGCCTGGCTCCACTCGCTCCACTGGCCCTCGTAGCGCTCCTGCTCCGTGACAGCATTCTCCAGGGTGGCCAACTGGACGCGCAGCCTGGCCTCATAGGTGGAATCGCCGCCCAATTCAACAGCTTCGAGGGTGAGCCGGTTCACCCCAGTGATGTGGCCCTTGCACTGGGCCTGCTGTGGGGTGAAGAGACTTAGGGGTTGCCGAGGCCGGGACAGGGTCTGTCAGCCCTTGAGAACGCACACACACACACACAGAGGCACACTCACCACACTCACGACCATATACACGCCGGCAAACTTAGACATGTATGCACACACCTATCCACGGGCACATGCTTCCACTCATCTACCTGCTAGCGCCCTTGCACTGGGCCTGCTGTGGGGTGAAGAGACTTAGGGGTTGCCGAGGGCGGGACAGGGGGTCTGTCAGCCCTTGAGAACGCACACACACACACAGAGGCACACTCACCACACTCACGACCATATACACGCCGGCAAACTTAGACATGTATGCACACACCTATCCACGGGCACATGCTTCCACTCATCTACCTGCTAGCACACTCACACACACGCACATACGAACACACTCTTCGCTCATACACACAGGTCACCCGTGAGCACTCACACATATAAACACATATATTCACTCCCACACAGGCACACTCGCCATTCTTGCATGCACACACAATCATGCACAGGCACACTCACACAGACATGTCTGCATACACAAACACACATGTGCACGTTTGACACATAGTCTTGGCTCTGGTCCCCTCCTCTCCTCATGTGGGATGAGGAGTGGCCCTGGGCTACTGCTCCCGGGAGAGAGAGAGGCCCTAGGGTAGCCAGCCCGAGCATTACCTCCCAAACCTCTTCCTGCCTCTTGAAGGCCAGCTCATAGCTGAGTAGCGAGGCCAACGGCTCCAAAGCAGGACTGATGCTCCAGGTAAGGACATAAGAGCCAGAGCTGACATTGCTCTGCAAGTCAGAGGGAGGGTCCAGCTTCACTGAAACAGAACGAGGGGGTGTCTGTCAACACGCTCAGGACTGGGGGTCTGAAAGGTTCCTTGGGGAGCCATGATCAAAGCTCTCTCAGACCAGGTGCCTCACTGGGAGGCTGGTCCAGAGAAGCACAGGTAAGACAGGACAGCAGTGATTTCCTCCAGCCCCTGTAGCCAGACAAGGTGATTCTCAAAGTTTGCCCTCCCTCTCCTTCAGAAGCTGCTGCTGGAGGTTCTTCCCAGTGTCTCACTGGAGCCCTTCCTACTGTGACCGCAGTGCATTTCAAGTGACTCAAGCTGCAGCCCCGGCCCCAATTCAAAGTCCTGCATCTTTGTCGTCCTTCAAAATCTAACCCCTCCAGTAACCAGCGGGCCCTCCCCTCCCAGGCCCAGCCTGAACCCTAGCCCTGGATCTCCCTTGGTGGGGGACCAAGAGCACTCGCTAGGCATGAGGGTTACAGTCTACAGAGCCCTGCTCCTGACACCTGTGCAGCCAGGATATGCCTGGACAAGCTGCCCTACCCAGGCCTTACCATGTCTCCGGGGCAGGTACTGGGGGTCCACCAGGCTGACCTGTTCCTTCCCAGAGATGTAACGGTGCAAAGTGATGGTGAAGTTGTCAGAAGGCACAAGCACCTCCTCGGGCGGCAGCACCACAGTGCACGCGCTGACCCAGAAGACACACTTGTGCTTGCTGCCCGGCGCATGGTTGCTAGAAAGAGCATGTGTCAACACCAAGCTGCTACACCAGCCAGCCCCCTGCTGTCGCTATCATGGGGACCCTATCCTCACCCCTGCCCCTGGCCCAGGTGGGCCTGGCCCCCCAGCCTCACCTGGTGAAGAGGAGCCAGGGACTGGGGCCCTGGCCCAGCTCTGGGGTAGACCAGTGGCAGTCAATCCTGAGGATGTTGTTGGTGAGGCAGGTGACAGTTCCAGCCCCCAGCCCTGGAAACAGTGACATTGGGAGCCCACGGTGGCTGCTTCAGGGCAGGGCTTGGGCAGGGAGGGGATCTGACAGCTGATACCCTGACAGCGCAGTCCCCAGAGAATGATACCAGGAGAATTCATCAAGGGCAGGGCTGGAAGACCTGGAAGGTCATGGGCTCTGACCCATGGTACATGGGTGGGACTGAAGTCCAGGCTGGTTCCTGAAGGACAGGCCCCAGCACAGTCTGGGCCAAATCTTCCCCTGTGGAGTCTGATAGAGGACAGCCCTGTCCCCACAGCGCTCCCCTGCCCACCTCACACAGCCACCAGCTCCCTCACCTCCTCCTTCCCCTGGTGCCAGGACTCCCAAGACGACCCAGCCGCAGCCCAGGAGCCAGGTGCCCATCCCTCGCATCAGAGTCTCACTCTCCAAGGTCCAACCTGCAAGGGACAGGGTCGAGGGACTCCGTGTGAGGAAATGCTACCTGTGAGGGGTGCTCCCCAACAGAGTGCTCTGAGTGGGTCACTGCCTACACACTCACCGTTTCCTGAGAAAGAGGTTAGGCCCCACCATCCGAGCTGCACCAATAAGCAACTGAGGCTCAGGAACATCAGTCAACCTGACCAAAGTTCCTGGCTACAGCATACAAGAGGGAGCCCTCAAACTCTTCCTGGGTTCTGGACGCTGAATCAACTAAGTGCCTGAGTCTGCCCAGAAGGCTCCTCTCTGGCACTGGTGTCCTCTGTCAGCCTAGCTCCCTGTCCCTGTGGCCAGATCCCATACTGCAGGGGAAGCAGAGATAGGGAATTTGTTAGCGCTGGGATCAGCCACAGGTATGATTTCATGAACTCTTTGTCATCACACCCTGTTCCGACTGTGGAACATGCATTGTGTAACGTGCATTGGAATTCCCTCGCTTGTCAGGTAGAAAGACTATCCATGCTCACAGACCAGTGAGCTGAGTCCCAAGGAGGGGAAGTGCGTTGCCCTGGGTCATACAGCTAACTTCTATATAGCTTCTATCTTTTTTGTCTCCTTTAATAAAGACCTATCCCAGCGTTCTGCTCCAGGAAGGTGTAGGAGGATGGCAGTGGAGTGTCCATGCAATAAAGGCACATCCTAAACTCTGTCACACCCCTGCTTGGAGGTGCTGGCCCAAGCCCCAGGCATCCCCGGAGTAACCAGAGGTTAGCTGGAGACAAGGAGCTGCATGTTAGGAAGTGCCTGGGTGCATGCAGAAAGGCTGCTGACACTCGATCACCCCATTTGCAGCTCCAGATGGTACACTGATAGCTCCTAAGCAGGAAGCAGGGCCAGCTGGGTTACGCAAGCCTGATGAGTGATAAGGAAGCAAAAAGATGCAGGCATACACACGCTCTCTAGACAGTAGATAGCACTCCAGACCCACCCCGCAGGGCCAGCAGATTATCTGTGTACCCACAGGACAGACTTTGTTAAGATCAACGATCAGGAAGACCTCGCCCTTCCCTAGAACGAAGCATCACCTGGCCCCACTCATCTGTCCCCTCCTGCAGCAGTTGCTAGTTACTAGATGGAGATGGGCGTGCAGCCTGACAACAGAGTATGTGAGGGCAGCATCAGAGAGAGCATAGGACCTTGGGGACCTCAGGCACGGTAGCCACTTTTCAGCTAAGAGGCTAAACTCAGGCTCCAGGGTGGATGACCACTGCCCTAGCAGTGGAGGGACACCTGCATCCGTGCAGAATCGGGCCGCCCAGCCATGCGCTAACCCAGGAGCAGGTGGCTTGAGAGTATGGAATGGGGTGGCTCGAAGCACAGCAGGCCTCAGGGGCCAGGACCTACTGTGAGGGAGCCTCAGAGAGTTGGGCAGGATCATCCTAGGGTGATGGTCCCTGCTTTTACTTTGCAGAAAACCCTTGCATCTATAAGTAGGATGGGTAGGCTGGGGCCACCACCCTTTGGAAGATGAGGAAACTGAGGCCAGAGAGACCAGGGCTTGCCCAATACTTGGCACCTGTCACCTCTGTTCTCGGCACGTGACCCATTAGCTCCCACACAAGGCTGCGAGGTACCCAGCTCCCCCAAGGTATCACTGATCTCTTTCCTCAGGGCTCCTCATGCAAAAGGACAAACTTTACTGAGTCAGAGCCACCTCTGTTTCTGACGGCAGACACTGAGCCAGGTGGTGCCTAAACCCCCACCTGCATATTCCCTGGGCCTATAAGAGGTACTGGGATGACACCGGGAGCCTAATCACAGCTCAGACAATAATATCAGGTCTCAGGAGGAGGGGAAGCCAGTGTCTGCTCCCTTGAGACAGAGCTGCCCTCTGACACCTCCAGGCATGCTGGGGAGCCTACCTGACCTTACCACCCAGCACTGCCCTACCCCTGTTAGGTCCATGGACACAGTCTTCAGCCCACAACCACTCTGGTCCCTTTTCAGAATCTCATCTCCTCCATGGCCTCGGGGTTGAGGTCAGCTTTCCTGCCGTGGTTTCCTGATGTATCATGAAGCCGTGGGCTGCCTTGCAGCTGGATCCCTGCCTTAGGACTCACAGATACTCTCAGACCAGGGGCAAATCTCCAGAGAGACTCAGCCACTCACCCTCCCTGGCCCTTGAGCCCTGAGCACTCACCTGAGGAAGAATCCCAGGCCAGAGCTGGCCTGTCATAGGAGCTGGCAGGGTAGCCCTGGGCTCCTTAGTGCCTTGCAGCACACCCTCTGAGTTGGCTACCAATTACTGCATCCACTTACTATCCCCTTTGACACAGAGTCATTTAATATTTTTTCATAGGGAGAACATGATATCCTGTTATTCTCCTCACTCACACAAGAAGCTGACAGACACAGAAGTGGATGGGATGGGGCTGCTAATTGAATGGACACTTATCTTCTGTCTTCTCTCTGCTGGGGGAGGAGGAATAAATTCAGACCTGGCCTCCCAGAAGCAGCTGGAACCTGAAGGACCTGGGGACTATACTAGAAAATGGGGCCAGAAATGGGAGCAGAAACCAACTCCCTCTTTTGGCCACTCATGGCACGGATGGGAAGCACAGATGCTGCTGGGCAGAAAGTGCTCGAGGACACCGTGCTTCTACAGGTGATGCTGGCATTAGGTGGGGAAGGGCAGGGAGCAGAAGAGATCACGGCAGGAAGGCCAGCTGGGGTGAGTCCACAGAGGGTACAGAGAAGGCTGGAGCAGTGCCCAGGAGAGTTTTCTGAATGTGGTGAGCAGGGACGGGGGCAGCTTCACCTATAAGCACATGTCTGAGAAACATAGACATACCAGACAGGAGCGGTGGGAGAGATAAGGGCTGGACCCAGAGGGGCCTCGGGTGGACGAGGGCACAGACAGAGGGAGGGAACCTAGGGCAGGGGAAGAAAGAGGGCTGAATGGAAGTCAAAGGAGCACAGAGAGGGAGAGGGGAGCCTGGGTCCCTGCTCATCTGCTCCACAGGCCTGCACTTCCCAAGTTCACCTCCTGGCCTTCTCTCACACCGTCCCCTCTGGCTTCCTCTCCCATCACGTGCCTCTTCCTTCATGAAGCCCTCCCTGAGCCCCCTAGTCTGTCTCCCCAGCCAGACCAGACAGGAGCAGGGGGTGGGCAGGGAGTGGGCAAAGGTTAGAATAAGGGTGTTGGCAGTTCTCTCCGGGGAGACTGGAGGTTGAATGCGGAGACATAATGCCCCTCACCCTTCTCCAGTAGCCCTCGCTGTCCCTTTGCAGCCTCCCTACATCAGGAGAACTGATCCGATTTATGTTGCACCCCCTGCGCCAGCCCTAACTGTTTAAGAAACACATCCTGACACTCTCTGCAGATGCTGCCCTCTCCTCCCCTTTCTCTGCTTGGCTGAGTTGACCCTCTTTCTGGAATCCCATCCACATCTGCTGCCCCATCCACAGCTCCAAGCGGAGGATCCCCAGACCCATTTCTGACCTAAAGCCCCCAAAGGTATGGGAGTTTGGGAGGAACTTTACCAACCCCAGGGCTTGGACGTCATCTCCATTCATGGCTGTCACAGCTGAGACTATCTGGCCCTGGAATGTCTGATCTCACTCACTCATCCCCCTCGAAGGTCAGCTCAGTCATTGAGGAAGCAAAGTCTCTTTCATAATTAGAAACTGCCTGACAAACGCACTGCCCTTCCTTCTGCCCAGTGGCATGCACGACCCCTACGGGCCTGGAAGTGACAGTCTGTCATCCTGTGGTCAGCACTGCCAATCTGCCATCTCTGGGAAATGCCCAAGGCAAGGACACCAGACAAGGTAAAACTAGGTGGTGCTCCTAGACGCCCCACTTCCAAGGGTCATCCACAGGCTCTTCCTCGGGCCCTGCCTCTGAATTTCATCTGACTTGAGCAGTTGGGAAGTTCCAATGGCAGACTCACCTTCCCAGATGCATCTGCTGGGTCCCATGGCAAGGACTGTCCCTGTGTTCACAGCAAAGCCCCTCAGCCTGATCCAGGAGATAGCTGCAGCAATCAGTGACGTGAGCCTCGCACAGCAGGCTGACACGGGCCGCCCACATCTGAAACCACGAGCGTATAGCTGAGCAGCTAGCCCAAGCAGAGCTGAGAGGCGACTGTCACCACTAATCAATCATAAACCCAGGAATTATGAGATAGGACCACCTTTCATTCCCTATGACACTAAAGGTTGCCAAACGTGGACTTTGGTGACTCATCCATCGATTGTCAGATGACCATTGCTGTATTCCTCCCAAAGACCACCTCCTAGATGCATTAAATTAGTCCCAGGCGGCGAGGACCCTGACCAGGCACAGAGCAGTGAGTCTCGTACCCTTCTAGGCTTTTCTGAGACCAGAAGTGCAGATTCTACATCCTCCAGCTAAGGCAATCTGTGAGCATTGGGGGGTGGACTGGGTGTTAAACCTAAAGTAATGAAGTCTCAGTTAAAGAAAACAAACAATACAGAAGGAAATAAAAAATTAGAGTCCCCTTTTACTCATCCCAGTAGTAACCCCCGTGAGAGAGTACGCACAAGTCCCTCCAGGTAATTTCTAAACTCGAACAAATGCATATTTTTAATAGACTCATACTGTGCCATTAGCTTCACAGCCTCCTTGTTCCTCTGGTTATTTTCAGCACTTTCTAGATCAGCACATAAAAACCTACCTCATGCCCTTAATAGTAGTACATGCCATGGCTTCATAACCCTGCCAATGGCCATGTGGATTGTGGCTATTTGAATTTTTTGAAATATAATTGATATATAACATTGTATCCGTTTCAGGTGTGTATGTGCTATTTTAAATGAAGATAGTGAATAATTCTAGGCATGGATCTTTAATCGCCAGGACGGGTACTTCTGTACAAAAAATTGCTAGGAGTGGAATTCTGGGGTCTAAGATTCAGCATTTTAAAATATTGATAGACACTGCCAAGTAGCCCTCCAGAAACATACCAACTTTTACTCCCACCAGAGGTGTACGAATACCTGTGACCCTCACCAACAGTATTATCAGTCTTTTTAATCTTTGCCAACCCAATAGTCAGATATTTCAATGTTTTAATTAGTAAAGATAAGCATCTTTTCTTACACTTACTAGCTATATGTCCTTTGTGGTACCAAATAAGTCACATTTCAGTGTGCATATGTGCTTATGTTTGTGTGTGTGTGCACACGTGTGCGTCTGTGTGTTCTGTGCATCAAAACATCTTGGGTAAGGTTTGGATACTTCAGAGCTGCAGCTCTCTCGAGTCTGAGAACACCAGACCCACAGAGATGAAAAAGCAAAGGCTCAGGCCCAAGAAACATCTTAGAAGTAACCAAAGACATAATCACATTTCTTTCTAGTAAGAAATTTTTTAAGAGAGCTTCCTTCTCTGTCAAGGTCCCTCCTGCCTTGCTGAAGCTAGAATTTACTAACCTAAGACCAGCAGAACATACCACTCACACCATGATGCCACAAGTGGAGAACATGATGGCTGCAAAAGGGAGAAAACCATGGCAAGGAAAAAGCCAGAGAGGAGAATCGCAGTGGAGAAAGGGGGTGGGGGGAGGCAAAATGGGTAAAAGAAGTCAAATATATGGAGATGCATGGAAACTAGACTTCTGGTGGTGAGCACTCAATAGACTATACGGATATCAAATAATGTTGCATGCCTAAAATTTATATTAGCAATGTTTCTTCAACAAAAAAACTAAATAAAATCTAAAAAGAATTTTAAGTGAACTCTGTTGAATGTCTGGGTCACTGCTGGGACCCACCTCCTACCCCCTACTCCTCCTCCACCCCCACCTCTAGCCAGTTAACTAGAACAGCATGACACTTTGGTTCCAGTGAGCCTGGGAAAACAACAGAGTGTGTTAAAAAAAAGATACATATAAGTATCATATACGTTCGTATTAACACTATATTTATTGCAGTCTGTGCTTCCTGTCTTGTTTCTATGCAATTATATGTAAATATTAAAAAATAAATTTAAAAAATAAAATAAAAAGTGAACTCTGTATGTCATGTTTTTAAGGCACAGTGGAGAGTGGATTATTTTTTCATCAAACTGGATGGCAAAGGATTGTGTTTACTATGCTGTGACGCTAAGACTAGTCAACATTACCAGACTAAGCACCCATCACCGGCACTATCCTCAATACACAACAAATTTCTTCACAAAAATTAAAAATGAGGCAACCAAATTAAATTTCCAACTGGCTCATTTGTTCACCAAACCAGGAAAGCCACTGATGGTGACTTAATTATGACTCAAGAAGTGTGTCCCAAAAAAACAAATTTAAGACTATCAGCCTTTTGAAGAAAAGTTGTTCTAAAAGTAAAGGACACTGGCAGCAACATTAATAGTCAATTAAAAGGTGAATGCTTTGAAGTGATTTTCCTTGGCTCGTGATGAATCCACAGATGCTACTGAAATTCTCAATGGTTGTTTCTTTAAAGAGTCAATGCCTTAATGTTGAGGTGGGAAGTGACTGAAGGATTAGCTTCTACACACAGACTGCAAGTAAGAATATTTTCAAAGTTGAGAAAACACTAATTCAGTATAACTGAAAGTGCAATCTGCTAATGTGTGTTACTACTGATGGTGGTAAAAATGTATGTGAAACATGAAAAAGCATAAATGGACAAAGCTTGTAAAACATGCTTTAAAGCCTATGGTTTTTCACTGTATTATTCAACAGCAAATACTTTGAGGAAAATATTTACATCTCTCATCAGTACTGACTGTCAACACTGAACTTCACACACTTAACCAGCATTAACAGCTGCACATGTACATTCAATTTTGATGACACAAAGAAACCATTAAATTCGAACCCCAATTAAGCAAAATAGTATCCATTATTTTCATCAACAGACTTGCAATACAAAATATTGTATTTAATTACTATGATTAGTTTGAATTTTGCCTAAAAAAAATTGTGGAAGTTGTTTTCTTGTGTTTTCCTAGATTTTGACTCGACCCACAAGTCTAAAATATTTACTATCTGGCTCTTTACAGAAAAAGTTTGTAAACCCTGAAATTGACTATTATCATCTCTATTCTACACACTAGGAGGTGAAGGCCGAGGTTCGGCACCTTGACCGAGGTCTCACACCTAAGGCGCAGGCAGGCAGCCTAACTTCAGAGTGCAAGACCCGCACCATGCTGCCTTTAACGACAAATGCAAACGGAAGAACTGGCACCCGAGGAAATAAAATCAGTGGCATAAGCGGAAGATATTTCAAGGACATGATGAAATCACATTTGTAAAACCAGAACGAACTGTTTTGAAATAGAACCAATTAGAGATAATGGGCTCTGCAATAAAAAAGAATCATGTGAAGCTTAAAGATTAACCATTTCTGGGAAAGAAACCAAGTCTCAAAAAAGTAAAAATCTGTATCAAGGACATAAATTTAAGTCCCATGACTTCGTAAGCGAGACTTTATTATTAGATTTGAGAAAGCAATTAAGTCTGAAGCCCTGAGCAAATCAATCCATCAATAACCTGGCTCCTGTCCCCAGCTAGTCCAAAGTGCCCTTCTTCTTTTCGGAGTGGAAAGAACACAGAAAGTATAAAAATATAGTATCTAAGAAATGTATTGCATTTCTTGCAACCCTACTTAGATACTATAGTATAGTATCTAAGAAATGTATTGCATTTCTTGCAACCCTATGAAGCAAGAATAGAAATAAGGAAGAAATTTAAACCCATGTTATTAGTAATTCTGTAACTAGTTCAGTCCTTAGTAGTCAAATTTGGAATCATGATTTGGGGTTTAACATCTTTTTTTTTTTTTTCATTTACTTCTTATGGCATTTAAAACACTGAAAAGGTAAAAATTAAAAAAAAATTCAAAAAAAAACACTGAGAAGGCAATATTAGACTTTTCATTTTAACTAAATATTCAGAATAAATTTTAATTAAATAAGTCTGCTAATAACAGTTAAATATTTAGGGACATCTAATATACTAAATTAGTAAGTTTTATTAGTTATACAAACAATATAAATATTTAACAGTCTTGGTTGGTGGTGACAGAATGTCAATTGTCCAATAAATGTAAAAGAGAATGAACAGAACCGGAGACAGAGTGCACTTTAGTTATGGATACTCCTCCCCACACACTACATCTCCCTGCACATTAATGAATTCATCCACTGACTGGCAGATGTGCTACCTTTCCTGACACCCTGGCCAACAACCCTAAAAGGGTTAGCTTTCCACCAGCCGGCAAAGACTCTCAGGACACACAGTGCACACTCCTGGCTGGAAATTCACTGCAGGGAACAAGGTAAACAGACAATGACAGCAGCTGGGCCAGCCTGGCCCTAGTCCCTCCAGCGGTGTCCACACTGAGCGTTGCAGCACTTGTAGAAGGTGGTCATTGGCTCGTCTGCAGAGCGGGTCTGAAGCTGCATGAAATAGGCACGAGGATGTTCGCATTTGGGACATGGCTCTGGAAACCAGAAAAATAAACAAGTGACCCACATTATTTAAAAAATGATGCTCGTGACCAATACACCTGATATAAGTAGGTGTTATGCAAAAGGCAGCAAAGACCATCCTCACTCAGCTGGTGGCCCTTGTACCATGATTTAAGGCTACAAACAGTGGTCTCATTCCCAGTATGCTCTCACACTGAGGGAATCCGGGAGAGCTTGAAAAACACTCCACACTGAGGGAATCCGGGAGAGCTTGAAAAACACTCCTCCTCCCCAATCTGGGTCCCACTTCTTTTCTCAAATCTGGCTGGAGACTGGTTGGAAACAACATGAAAGGTGACTTGTGGCTGCTGTGTGAATTACAGGGTCCACACCCTGTAGATTCCCCCTAGTAAGTTCATCTCCATCACCCACTCATCTTCCCAGAGGAGCTCCGAACGGATGACCAATCCCCCAATCCACCTCAGACCTGAGACACAGGCAGGCTAACTTCAGAGTGCATGATCTTCACCATGCTGCCTCTAGCAACAAACATAAACAGGAACTGGCGCCTGAGGAAACAAACTAGTAGCAGTAGTTCCTCAGGCTTTCTTATCAAGGTCTCACCACACATCCCGTACCTTTTAGAGTGCCCCAAGACACGTACTTACCTTCAAAGTGATTTCACTTTGAGAAACTAACCCTGCTCATGATGAAAACACTTTCAAACACTCTCAAACACCATTTCAAACACGAAGTGCGTAATTCATCTTGTAATAACAAATTCCGCCATTGCTAAATTTTTAACATAGCAGATGTCGCTATTGGTCTATGGGGGAAGGAGATAGCATTAATCTGATTTAGCTCTTCCTCTTCTCAACACAGGTTGTCTAAGGCTCTCCTCTGCCCTTTCTTGGTCACATCTATCTCTACTAGAAATGAATTAAGACTTGAAATAATCAAATTTTTCCTGAAACTACAATTCAATGCTTTCTGGTAGTAACTTTTAAAATTGCATTAGAAAAAGACCATATTTTTTTCCTTAGACTCAAATCTTTGTGATTGTTGCTCTCGTAGTTACAACCTGTTGAGTGCCTGTTATGTGCCAAACACTGTAACTCACTTTATGCTCTCACCATCTGAGTAACTCACTTTACGCTCTCACAATCTGGATTAGCTTGAGAGAGGTCAAGGAAAGGTTGTGAAACAGTAAGAACTCATCCTGAGTTTCTAGGCCTGCATGACTCCAAGGCTTGTGCCAATATTATTTGAGTAACAAATAAGTTGTTAAAGAACAAATACACTTTTTCTTTTTAGAAGCCCACTTCAAATAAGTACATCACAGACTCTGAAGTGAAGCGGCACAGTCTGCAGCCTCATATTTATCCACAGCTCAGTTATGGAAAAGGTTTTCCCCTCTCACCTGCAGTAGAGTCAACATTCTCCCAGGCAGCTGCTCCACCAAGCACATCATCCACTTCTTTAAGTTTCGGATACTTCCGATTTGTTACCTAACAAAAAGCAAGTGTTCAGACTTTCCAAGTCAGTGAACAGTACAAACCTAGGCCACCAAACCGCACCTCCGTACCTGCCCTCAAGTGTCTCCCCAGACTTTCTTCGACACAGACTGCAGGAATACTAAATGAAAACAATGTTCCCATTATCACAGAGAAGGACACTCCTTTGGAATTTAGGGGATCTATCATTGGCATACCCCCCAAGAGTTGAGAGAGATTCGGCAGTCAGGGATCTCTGCAAGGACTAGAGCACCAGAGCAGGAAGAAAATAAATGTCTTAGGTGAGACCCTCCTCTTCTCTCACACCTCTAAGATATTACTGGATAAACTAAGATGAGAGAAACATACAACTGAAGCCAAAGAGTATTACTTTGCTGGGTAGCCCAGCCACTCCACCACCACCACCACCACCCCTACCCTCCACGGAAGAAAGCTTTCAAAGCTGGTCACACTTGGCTTCTTTCCCAAGATTAACCATACATACTTGAAATTTCAGGGTTACATAAGAGTTCACTTTTCCCATAGTTCCAGACTCTCAATTCCCACAACACAGCAATATGGTGTGGTACACAAATATTAAGAGTGAAGTAGCACCAACGTGTTCTACTTCTAAAAAGTAAAGGTGTACCATGTGCATAATGGGAGATCATTCAAGAGCCTGGTGTTGCTGGGGCAAAGGAGCACCTTAGTAAGTGAAATCAGAAAGGCAAGTCTGAGGGGAAGGGTTCGGTGTCAGCCCTTTCGTTAGCTTCCACTCAGTGCGCTGGTGAACTGCTGAGGGTTTCTGAGCACCCGACGGACTCGATCTGACTTAGAGGTTAACAAGACCAGTTTGGCCACTGTGTGACCACGGGGGAGCCAGGAGCCCGAGGAGAGGTTTTACGACAAAAACTCAGAGGTTTTACGACAAAAACCCAGAGTAACAGCACTGGGGAGGGACAGACGCCCGGATTCTGGGTGTCCTCGAAGGGAGAGCCGACAGGAAGCGACAGTGAAAGAGAGGGCGGCCCGAGAGGCCAGGGTAGGCGTACTTCGGGGCTGGTGGGCTTACAGCTCTGCGGAAGGAAGCCAGAGGCCTGCGGGAGGTGCCCCGGCCCGGCGCCGGGCTCCGGGACCCACCTTGCGGGTGATGTTGTGCACATAGGGGCAGGTGTTGCAAGCGAAACGGTGGCAGCGCTGGCCCTCCTCCACGATCAGCCCGTTCCCGCAGCCCGGGCAGAAGAGCAGCATAACGGCAGAATCGACCCCGCAGGCTCCCGGCAGCCACCGCGGCCGGTCGGACGCCGACCCTATGCCCACCTTGAGCTCACATTGGTCCGGGCCAGCCCTTCAGCCCACCAATAGACACGCCGATTTCGCGCTCCCAGTGAGCACTGCGGCAAGCCTCGAACTTCTCATTGGTCTTCGCGGCAGCCCCAACGCTCAACACCCTAATGGCGGAACTGCGCGTTGCTCTCTTTGCGCGTGCGCGCGCAGGCTCCGGCTCGCGGACTGGCGGTCCCGGCGGAGCACAGTTTGCAGCAAGGCGCCCTGGAGGAGGTGGAGGCGGTTGCCCTGCCCGAGGCGCAGGAGAACGATGAGGACGAAGAGGAGGCACTGCCGCACTCCGAGGCGGTGGACGTGTTCCAGGAGGGTCTCGCCATGGTAGTGCAGGACCCACTGCTCTGCGATCTCCCGATCCAGGTGTGCGCGGGCAGGGTACCGGAGTGGTGTCCCGCCGGGCCGTGCGTTGGGGCGTTGACAGATCCCTGGGGGTGCTGACGGGGGCTGCGGCCCAGAGGCCTCGGGAAGGCACCTCTGGTCGTAAACGTATGTCTTAACCAGGGCCAGACCGAGGGTGGGGCAAGCGAGTCCCTTGCCTGGGGCGCGGAATTTAAAGGGAAGCCCCCCACCCCCAAAAAAACATCTCCAGGGCACATGACATTTTAATACAATATGTTTATAATTCAAAGTCGGTGTAAAGAAGCCTTTGAGAAACAAAATAATAAAGACAAGATTAGTATTACTGGTTTTTCCCTCCTCAAACTTCCATATTATTTTATCCATCATGGATTTTTACACCTGCCTCAACCTCGTTCCCATGCCGTGGCCTGGATCCTGGTGATCAGAGGCTCTCATACTGGACTGACAGGCCCAGCATTCGTCCTCCTACCCACACCTTGGATGAGAGGATCCAGGGCCGTTCATTCTTCTTGCCTGTTCCTACGCTCCTTTCTCCAGAGCCTCTGTCCACTTTGGACTTTAACTAGAAAATGTGGCTGAAACATGAGATTGAGGTGCTGAAAAACTGAGAAACTAACATGTAAACAAGAATTCCTTCCTTTGTCTTTCGTAAAATTTTGGACACTATCAGCTCTTCTTTGTTGTTATTTGGGGTAGTAAAGAGAGCTAGGGCTACTACTTCCACCCTTGGTCTTTTCTAGGTCACTTTGGAAGAGGTCAATTCCCAAATAGCCCTAGAATATGGCCAAGCAATGACAGTTCGAGTATGCAAAATGGATGGAGAAGTTATGCGTAAGTGCTGCCCTTCTCCCTTCAGGCCACGCAGTCTGAAGATTTTACAGGGACTGGTCGGTGGGACATTCAGAGGCCATGCCCAGGGTTGTTGGGGGCAACCATAAGCCCACCCTGCTCAGACTTGAGCCTCAGTCAAGACAAGCTTTGACGGGGCTTCTGGGTTCCCCTCCTGCCATCTGAGGCTGTGGCTGCGGGACCCACCATGGATCTTCTCCCATTTGTGTCCCTGGTTGCAGCTGTGGTTGTAGTACAGAACGCCACGGTCCTGGATCTGAAGAAGGCCATCCAGAGATATGTGCAGCTCAGGCAGGAGCGTGAAGGGGGCATTCAACACATCAGCTGGTAAGTGGAGCAGTGTCGCCTTACAGTGCGTTCCTGGGAGTTGGTGTGGGACTCCACAGGAACACCTGCTGGATGTGTGCTTTTTAATCAGCTGGGCTCTGCTACGAAATACTAACTGGAGTGATGCGCTCCCTGTCCCGAGCCTTCAGACAGGATAAGTTCTTCCATGCCTGGGAGTCCTGCCTCAGCTGCTCTTTCATCTTTATCACCCCACCTAGGCAGTTGGATATCTTCACTTGGAGACACCTTAGAGCATTTGTGATGTGTCCAGAAGTGGTCTCCCTAGTTACAGATGGTGCAGGTATCAGCAGCCCTATCCCCTCATTACTTGGGTGCTGTCAGCCCTTCCTTGTTTCATTAACAAGGTGTGTTTGGCTCACACAGCCCTTTGAGAGTAGGGCCTCCTTGTAGCTGCCTCAGGCCTGGTGCAGAAATGTACAGGAAAAGAGCCCAGAAGAGGAAGCTGGCTGCCTTGGGCCCCACAAAGCTAAGCACCATGAGCCCTTCTCATGCATAGCGTCTGCATCCCAGCTGCCCAGTTCATCCTGCTCATGGTTTACCTGAATCCCTATCTTGCAGGTCCTATGTGTGGAGAACATACCACCTGACCTCTGCAGGAGAAAAACTCACAGAGGACAGGAAGAAGCTCCGAGAGTAAGTTCAGGCCACATCTTGAGCTACATACAGAGAGGCGTCTGAGCTGTTCCACATGCTATGCCAGAGGGCTGGGACTCTGCCATAGCATGTGGAACTAGAGGGCACAGCTCAATCAATTCCTGGGGAATCTGTCAGATTAGAAGAGTCCCTGGCTATACTGACGCCTCCTGCTGGGGGCCCTCCATACTAGGAGACTGGGAAGGGGAGGAGCAGTGTGAGAGGCCCTACTGCTTCTCACCAGTGGCAGTTAAGGGCTACACAGAGCCAAGAAGAGGAAAGAAAG